GAATAAAATAAATAAAATAAAAATGTTAACTAAGTTAAAAATGCTAATGATATTAATAACATTGATCATTCGTCAATATTTATGACGTAGTAGGATTAACTTCATATGGTATCAACGTTAATACCAATATTACTAAAGTTAATATCAATATCAATGCTAAAGTTAATGCCAAAATTAATATTAAATATGAATGTAAATGCCAATGTTAGTACTAGTACTAATGCTAAAACTAAAGCTAATATCAAAAATAAAGCTAATATTAAAGTCAGTATTATTTCTAGTATTTAATAAAAAAGTAAGACTTTCAAAAGATTATTTAAATAATTTTAAATTTTTATTTTTAATAAATGATAATAAAAATTCTTAAATTTAATTTTATATTAATTAATATTAAAACAAAAAATAAAATAAAAGTGAAGCTAGCACTAATGATAAAGTTAATAAAACTAATATTAATATTATTTTTAACATTATCTCTATCTTTAATCTTAATGCAAAATTTAATTTATCTTATAATAAAAATTTAGGTAAATTTAAATTTCTTATTAATTACTATATGAATGATAATTTTATATTAACTTTATATTAATAATTATTAAAGATAATGAAAATGAAAATTTAATAAATAAAAATAAAAAAGATAAGAAATTTTTTTTTTTCAAATATTTATAATACTTATTTTTTTTAATTAAATTTTGATTAATTTATATTAAAAGAAATATTACAGAAAAGAATAAGTATAAGAAAAAAAAATATTGATTTTTTAATTTTTTTTTTAATTTCTATTTTTTTTATATTAATTAAATTTAAATTATTTAATTAAAAAATTATAAAATATAAATTTTATCTATAATTTTTATATCTATTAAAGCATTATAAAATATAAGTTTATCTGTAATATTTGCATCTATTAAAGTATTATAAAATATATATTTTATTTATGATATTTCATTTGTTATATGTTTAATATTAAAATAAATACAATTATGATCTGCATTCTGCATGATATTTTATAGTCAACTTTAATTTCGATTTACTGAAAACCAACAGATAAAATAGCATCATAAAGTATTATAAAATATATATTTTATCCATAATTTTTGCATTTATTAAAGCATTATAAAATATATGTTTTACTTATTTTTGTATATATTTTTTCTACCTTTCTATATTAAATTTAAGGTTTTTATTTAAGGAAATAATGTATATATTATATTGAAATTCTATAAAAATTAAAATGTTATAAAACTTAAAATAGGTTGCTAATTTTATTTATGAAGATATTATATATAAACATAGATATTCTCAAAATTCTTATCTGATAGAGGAACTCATTTTAATAGTCAATTAATCACAAGATTAATAAAAAAGTTTTAGATTAAACATAACTTTTTAACTCTTATAATTCTTAAATGAATAGTCTTATAGAATGATTCAATAAAATTTTAAGTAAATCTTTAATAAAATTGATCATACATAACAAAAATAAGTTTTTATATTGTATCAATATTATTTGCTTATTGCATAAGTTGATACTTAACTATAAAAATAGCATATTTCTATTTATTATATATAAAATCAGCAAAGTTACCTACTGATAATCCTTTAAATAAACAATTATATGGTAATATTAATACTAGAATTGGAAAATTAATGGATGATCTATTAGTCATAAAATCTAAAGATTAAAAATGCAGATTGTAAATAGTTAATAAAAATAAAAAAATTAGCATAATTAAAAAAATAAAAATAAGATCTCAATTTGAAATAGAAGATAAAGTCTTATATTATAATATAACAAATAAAATAAGAAAATTAGATTTGAAATGAAAAAAAAACCCTATTATTTCATGAGATTTTAAAGATTTAAAGTGAAATTCTTCTTTCAAAATCCTTTTAAAAGTATTATTTATAAAGATATATTATACAAAAAGTTTAGAATACTTATTATATACTACTAAAAGTATATCTATTAAAGAATTGCGTACTTATTCTTATTAATGTTTATTAAAACAATTTTTAGAAAAAAATCAACCAAACCTTCTAAAAAAATAATGTTATTAAATATAATGATTAATTATTATATATATTATTTATTATTATCAAAAAGTGTAGTATATTATTAGTTAACAATTATATAAATAGACCTGTAAATTGATTTTGAGTTAATAGAGTTTAATTAGATAATTTTTTGAATAAGTTTTAGAACTAAACTTATAATTCTACAGCTTAATAAATTTAAACATTAAATTAATTATAATAATCAATTATATAAGTAAATTGTAATAATAAATTATTTTATTATTAATTGTTTAGTTTTCTTAGAAAAGTCCTTTAAGATAATTAAGAATTTAAGATATTTAGTTTGTTAGCTTAGTTTAATTATAATACTAGATCTATTACTAGTTAATAAGTTAACCATTATTAATTTTATACTCAGTCTGTTAAACTTAGGTAATAATAACTTAATAATAGAGAATAACATACAAGAAACTACTAAGTCTCTGTAGAATAAGTCCTATTATAATTAACCTTAGGTTTATAATTTAGATGAGTAAATAATTTTAACAATTTGTAATAATAATAAATATGATCGTCCCAAATGTTATAAGATTCAATATTATCCAAAAGTGATAGTCCTCTAGGTATTCTCTTCCTAGGCTTAGTAGTATTGTTTACCACTGTTTAGGGTATTTATTCAATTATTTCCATTGGTTCATTAATTGTTTGAGATCAAGTTCATCTGGTATTAGTTTCTCTTTGCAATTTAGATCTTTTTCTCTTAATCGCTAGAAAGACTTCTTATTCAAGTATATTTACTTCCTTTCTATTTTGATCTCTGTTTCTAGTTCTCCAGTTACCTTGTGATAAACTTTTTCTGAGAGACATCATCTGGCTATATGACCTTATTCTTCACATTTGAAACAGATTAATTCCTTTTTTAGTTTGTCTTCAGGATTGTAACTCTTTTTTTCAGCTGAATTAGTGATTAATGTGACCATAATGTTTATTTGATTTAGAGCTATTTGTTCGAATTGTTTGGACAATTTTTCAATGTCATCTTCAACTTTTGGCTTGCTAAAATCGTGATCTGTTGCATAATATCTTCCTGCTTTAACAGTTTTAGCCTAGTAATAGCAGCATCTAAATCAGCTGAATTTTGAATTGCAACTAAAGTTGCTAGTTTCTTATTTAATCCACTCAAAAATATTCATACTTTAAAGACGTCTGAAATTTCTCCTGCATCTACTCTATTTGCTAACTTCTTAAATTTTGATGCATAGGTTTCAACCTTTTCATTTCCTTGTTTCAGGTTCATTAATTCATATTGCCATCTATGTAATTTTTCTTACGATGAGAAGCATATTAAGAATCTTTCTCTAAATCCTGTGTTTGCATCTCTGTCCCATCTATTAATTGTAGTGCTTACTAAATTATACCAGTTAGCTGCTTCTTCCCTTAACATTCCTGCTGCAATTGCTACTCTTCTATTGTCTGGCCATCCATTAGCTTTTTTTGCTCTTAAAAATATTTCAATCCATTTTTGAGTGTCTTCACTATCTTTTCTATAAAAAGGGTTAACTTTTACAATAAAACTTCCTGCTGCAGGTGGTGCTAAAATATTAATACCATTAAATCCGTTGGTCATACTGGTTGTAATTTGTATTATCAATGCATTGAGTTGGTCTACTGTCATAGTCATGTTTGCAAGATTTAGTAAAGGGGTTTCTCTGTAAGTGAAGTGATTGGTGTTATGTGAGATGATAAGAATATGTTGATATATTACTTCTAGTTTAAAGTAATACGTGAATCTAAGGCTAATACTAAAGAGATTGCTGCTTTTGCTGCTTGTTCATATTAAGACTACGAGGATTATTAACGTCAAAATACTGTCCTATTTCTTCACAGTATTATTCACTTAGAAATGAATATGTATATACACGATATTGTTGGTGAATTCACTGATAGAATCTTTGAAATTGAACACTTGGGTTTCCAGATAGTTGAATGACAAATTCTACAAGACTTATCAAAGGATTTTATGAGATATGTTCATCTTAAATATTTGAAGTGGTCGTCTGAGTGTTGTTTTTTTATTTTACTATATAAGTTACAATTCACGTACTAGTAGAAATCTTTAAGCTGATTCAGTAAATCTCTTCTAATTTCTAATAAGTTATTCCTGTCTTTATATAGGTCGAATAAGTGATTATTGAAAGCTTTTAATCCTTTCTTGACTTCCTGTTTGACTAAATATATTACGTCAAGTGATAATTTGCTTCTTTTATGAATAACTTATCCTCTAATTCCTCCTCTAATATCAGGATAGATATAGATATAGCTGAGAAGTTCAGTGAGGGTATTCAATTATTGTTGTAATTTTCTAGTTACTAAAAGGATTTCAATGTCAATTTCTTCTAAGTGATTAGTTGTGTTGTTAATATTCTTTTCTAATCTTAACAGTCTTTGAATACTCATATAAATTATACTGAATTATTGTTTTCATTCCTTATAAGAAACACTAAAATATTACGTTAGGTTTCGTAACTTCAAATAAAATCTCAAAAGGGGTAAATAAAACTAAGACAATTACTCAAGAAATCACAGGTGAGGATTCATAATAACGTCAAAGAATTATTCTCAATAATACAGTAGCGGTCATAAGTATCCGACCCCTCATAATTCTTAAAGTTAATTTATAATATCTATTAAATTTTTTTTAAAATTTAAGTTCAATACTAACCTTGATAATCTGTAAAATTATAGATTCGTATC